TATCCGTTAGGTTACAGTGTCAATGGAGCTTCTCCTCTCCTTCCGCTCCGTCGGCGGTCATCTTCTCCGGCGAGCCACTCCGATCATAACCAGAGGTTACAGAATGTCGAGACCCATCTCTAAGAATCTCTTATTCTCTACCTCTGCTAAAACCCCTCTTCTTAAACCACGAGCTGCTTCATCATCAGGTTAAGACCCATAGATTCCATTTCGATGGTTTTCGAGTTTGATTTCGACCCTAATTGCTTATGGTTCTAAGCTTTAATGGGTTTTGTTTTTTGTCTGCAGAGAAGAATTCATTTGTTTACAAAGGAGATGAGCGTATGGTGGGTCACTCCATTGACACCGTCGTGAACTTCGATCAGTTTCAGAGCTCAAGCACGATTGTGGCGATTGTGACTCCGATTGGTGGACCCCCTGGTGCCGTCGGAATCGTGCGATTGTCGGGACCTAAGGCTGTTGAAGTTGCACGGCGAGTGTTTCGTTCTGCTAAGAAAAGGAGGAAGAAGACGAGCAATGGTTCTGTTCTTTCGGATTTAGATTCGGATTCATGGAGGCCAACGAGTCATTTCGTTGAATATGGAGTTGTTGTTGATTCAAAAGACAATGTTGTTGACGAGGTAAGATTAAGAATTTGAAAAAAGTTATCAAATTTCAATTCCATTGATGCATATATTCACACTTTCACAATCAGATTACTAGCTTATGCTTAGATTCACGATATGAAACCGAGTTTAATCCACATTCCAACTGTTAGGCTTTAGTTGTGCCAATGTTGGCTCCTAGGTCATACACTAGAGAAGATGTAGTTGAGCTACAATGTCACGGGAGTGAAGTTTGTTTGCGGCGTGTTTTGAGAACTTGTGTTGAAGCTGGAGCAAGATTAGCAGAACCAGGTCAGGCTCAGATTCATTCTTTAGCTTTTGTGTCCATTCTTTGTATTATCGTTTTGACTTCGTTGGTGAAGTTTTTAGCTATTAGATTCTGAATTCTTTTTTGTTCAGGAGAGTTTACACTTCGTGCCTTTCTAAATGGGCGTTTAGACCTTTCGCAAGCTGAAAATGTCGAAAAACTTATCTCGGCCAAGT